GTTCAAGTGCCTCTTACTTAAATAAGGGCACTTATGTCTTTTCCAATTATATTAATAATATAATAACAGGTCTGGCCGAAACTAGGGTTGACTTTTTCCTAATTCGAACTAGACCTTTTCTCTTCTTCTTCCTCTTTTTTCCTTCTTCTCTCCTCTCTTCCTTCTTGCTGTTTACTTTACTTTTCAGCTAACAAACAAAACAGACTTCTAGGGCAGGCTGAACTTCAACACATGTCAACTATTGAACCCAAGATCATTCATTCAAGCCCTGAAAAACCCTAAAGAAATGATAAAACTGTATAGCTTATGTACAATGAAGTAGGCTTGCCATTTTACAAGGTTCACACAATCACATGTGATGTTCATTTTATAGGGTGAGCCTCACCTAGCTTGTTGCGATATTTTGATGAATTAACCTTGTCTTTGATGTTGAATATGTAATTTTCCTATATTGTAGAGTGCACCTCAACTATGATGCTTAGAGTTTAAAACAGATTAGCTTATGTGGAAAATACAAGGTTACAGCCTTCATGTTAATAACACAATAACTAATTGAGCTTACAGGCTTTTGTAAATATTTTATTTGTTTCAGAACATATTTTTGTTTATTGATGGAGTTCTTACCAATATGCATGATTTTGTTTTTCAAAACAGAAGCAACTGCCACATAATATGATTTTGGTGATGTTTTTTGTTTTGAAAATCAAAGTCATACATATTGGTGAACACCCCTAAGTTTTTCTTTCATTTTCTTTTTTCATAAGTGGAGCTTTGTTCAGCTGCACACCTTACTTGTGCTTTGTATCTCAAGCTCCAGGGACCAGTTGACTTATCATTTTCAAAACACTGAGTAAGCCATGGCTGATTCTATTTGTTTCAGAACATATTTTCTTGTTTATTTTGGGGGTGTTCACCACTATAACACCACAAAAACAAAGCCACCAAACCCAGGAATGGCTCCCTTGTAAAACACATTAACACCACATGTGAACCATTATCCCTGAACAAGTGCCTTTTTGTAGGCAAATATTAATATGTATGCATGTAAATATAAGAGGCATTTTATGTAAATAAGATTTGATTGGTACAAAGATATGAAAATAATCAAGCTAGGAAGACCTGCAACAAGAATACTTATTTTCCATAAACCAGTTAAGCTCCCTAAACGTATTCACATTTGGACCCATGAAAGAAAGCAAAATACATTACAAAATGAAAGGAATTTTACCCTGCTTAAATCAACAGCTACAAGGTCCATAATTTACAGAAAATCACTAAATAACAATCTTTGGATTTCTTCTCCAAAACAAATAGAAAGTGATAATTGGGTTACCACCAAAGAAATACATAGAAATTCAATATAAAATGGCTAAGAAGATATGAAGAAATATAAAACCATGACAGTCAAAAAGTTCTAAAAATGTAAGAATTATGATGATAAACAGGAGATATGAGGCAAACCAGTTGTGTAAGCAAAATGTATATGACTTTTTTGGGTCATAACAGATTTCTCTAGTGGAGGAAGTGCTGCTTCTATGTGTTGTACTCGAACCATTATCTTATGACTTCTAGATGCAGTAGCCATTACTTGCTCCTGTAGGCCATGAAAAACCTCGCCTGCAAATCTACAAACACATCCAAGATGTTGTTTTAGTAACTATAATCACAGTGTACAACAGATAATCCACAAATGTATATATACCAAACAAAATGTCAAAAGACTAAAGATGTTTGGAACAATAGTATGATTACTTTAAGTTGGATGTCAAAACTCCACCAGTGTGAGTTTGTCTTACACTGCCAGTCCCAAGTCCAGATAAAGGAGGAGTTGTGTCAGGTTTGCATCCAGCACTAAAACTTTTTTCCAAACCCTCATGAATATGGATCCAGATGACTCAAAGTTGAATGTCCACAAATGCAAATTTAATAAAAAATGCCTCCCATATAAGCATTATTCAAGTCAGTTATATTTTCTAACAATTTCTACCAGTGGTTCTATTTACATAGTTTCACAATTTTCTGACTACTGCTATTTGCAGTGGTAAACTTTCACAGTATATCCAACCCAAACTACAGTTACAGTGGAGAGGGTACTGACCTTCCCTCTGCAAAGGTAGCATGGAAAAAACATAAAAAGGCCAATAACCAATATGAGGAGGCTGCTCTGATGCTCCTCATCCCAGTTCTATCATTTTTGACATGGCCTCTAATAGCCTATGGTAATTCAGCTTCAAAGAAACAAAAAAAAAAAAAAAGATATTCTTGGCAAGTGCCTTGAAAAACCTAACCATGTAGATTTTTTTAGGATCCTTTTAATTTTTGTTAATTTGTCATGAGTTTGCCACTCCATGTTTAGAATATACGTAAAAGTCCCTCTTGACGTAACTGATTGGAAGAAGGACCCACAAGAAGGGAACAATAAATGTTGTTGTATTGGAAGCCCTATACTTTAGCTAAAGAACTGAGAATTCATGATCAACAAGGCACCTAAAATTATCAGTAAGGAAAGCTTCTTAATGTATCCAATTAGCTGACAAAAGGGGAGTAAGAGGCCATGTATCTTTCCCCAGACCACTCCTTACCTAAACACAATACGCACGGTAAAAGCTCTCATTGAGTAAGTTTAACAGGAATTCATAAACCAGTAACAACAACACAAGGAACGGAGTACAAATACCCCAAACATACAAACTTCCGAACTTAACCCCAAAACTTTATAGTATAGGATGGTTTCTACACACTAGTTCGAGAGAGTAGATCTATAAGCTCTTCCAGTTTAATTTATTATCTTCGTTGGAACATATGAAGAGAACTTCATCTGTTGCATGGTCCACATTGAGCCTAAATAGTATTGCATTCACAACCACACTACTATATTCACATTCAGAAAATAATTCATCCCCATCTATTAATTATCCAAAAACAAAGAGAAAATTTAAAGCAAAGAGTTCTAAATAAGGATATGGTATTCCACAGAGAGAAAAAAGGCTCAGTAAAACACGCTGCTCACTTTATTAGTAAAGGTTAGAAAACAAACTACAACCAAAATCAGCCGGCGGCAGAGTTTCGAAGATAATCTCGACAATGACTTAAACTAAAATTTAATCTCGAATTCAATTAATTCCTTTCTTATCTCTCACATTGCCAATAAAAAAAGAGTTGAAATTCAGGAAAATTGAGTAAAGGGATAAACATATAAAAGAAAATTAAATAAACGGGCAAATAAACTCACTCAGCCAGATCGCCAAGCTGCCGCAAGATCCCAACAAGCCCGGAAACTGCGACTCCATCAAGAATAGCCTTTGGATCGTCTTTGTTCGCAGCTTTGTAGAGCTCCGGAGTACCTAAACCATACTCATTCCTCACTTGACGCCGAACCAGAGGCATGGTTCCTTCCTCTTGTTCTTCCTTCTGCCTTTCCTCTTCTCTCTTTCTCTCTTTCTCAATACCGAAAAAAAATCTGAAACTACGAGAGAGCTGATCTCATCGAACTGAGTTGCACACTCAGAGAAGAGAGCTCGAAAAGAGCTGCAATTAAGAAAGCAAACAGAACAAAACAAACAGAGCAAATGCACAAAATGCTGAGGATAAGACGGATATTAGGTAATCGGATAGAAGCAGCTTAACTGCCGAACAGTCTGCACCTCTCTCTCTCTCTTTCTGTCTCTCTCTCTCTTTCCTTCTCTCTCCCCCCGATCGAAGAAGACATTGCCAACTCTGCAAGGCATTCTCTCCTCCAAACATCATTACCGGTAATAGTCAAAACTTACATTCAAACCCTCACTATTTACAGAAATGGCTCGCGTGTCCCCGCCCGGGTTGGTCTCGGTCCAAATGACGAAAATAACCTTGGGTGGTCATTGACTCATTGTGGTAAAGTTATTGAAGTTTGAATTAAATTTGAAACAATAGAATAAAATAAAACCAGAAAGACCGTAAGACCGAGACGACGTGGGTGACGCTGGTCACATGACGTTTGGAGAGAATATTTAAAACTTTCCTAACACGGTTCCAACATAATCTGTATCCATGCATCTTGCATGGAAGTAGGACCCACTATGTGATGTGTGGATACAGATTATGTTGGGATGTGTTGGTACAGTATATTTGTTGTGACTTGTGAGCGGATCCGGTACATCGGATCTGGCTGGCGCATTTACCAAACTTCTTTATTCCTTCATAAATTTTTGTTTCCGGGTGTTGTCGCGTTTGTGGGAAATAGAAATGAGGTCAGTGTCCACTGCATTATAACAGAGTTGACTAATTAAAGCTTTGTTTCCCAGTCTTCAGACTCGGGAATCTTCACTGAATTCATCGTCGAGATTTGCCACGTCAACAAGCTTTAGAACCGAAAGGATTTGCCACGTCAGCAAGTTTTGGAACGAGATTCGGTATGATGAGCTGATGACTGACTGGTGGAAACGCGCCTTTGCATGTTGAGAAATCCATCCATCTCGTTACCGAGACGGAGAGAATACGCGTCCATTTGCAGCGTTGAATGTATGACGCATGATCCTGGGCATCACTCCACGTGGCCGATGGGGGCCCAGTAAAGGGAAACAGGAAAAAGAGAAAAAAAAAAAGCCCACTAAAAATCAAAAGCGGTACATAAATCTGAGTTGGACATGTTGCAGTGTTTCAGCAGGGAGGGTGGCCATCCCAAAAAAGAGAAAGGTAGCCCAATTATCTCTCCAATGGATATCCTACATTTGCTCAGCGGCTCAGCCATGTGGTAGGATGAGGTGGACAATTGGGATGGTCCATTTGGATAGGAGAACCTTCTGCCTTGGCCAAGTGTTCAGTGCCCCAACCCAACCCATATTCCCTTTCTGGGCCTCCCAAGCCTCAACCCCACCAGCCCACCTGACCACCTCTATGGCTCTATTCTCAGTGTCACACATTTGGCTGATGATGATGGCTCTGGGCCTCTGGCTCTGTGATCAGTCAATTTATTCCTCTTTCTTTGGCTGAAGCTTGCCACATGAGAAGGTAGTGATGTCATCTGATGCACACTAGTAGGCCACCACCACCTAAGCTGTGGGCCTGGGCCAATTGATTGAAAATCTAAAATATGAAAGCATCCATACCCAATAACAGGCCAATAAGTTCATGTTCTTGAGCTTTATTAATACGTGGGAGGTGGGACCCGATTACTAATCTGATACAGAACATTAGACCAAGATCTAGAGCTAGACCTTACCAATGAGCTATTGAGCTTCCACTCTGTAACAAGGTAATGGGTAATAGCCCTTTGTCTAAGGGTTCATGATTCAATGTGGAGCCCTCGGGTTGTGGTGGAGGTGGGGGGTACGGTTTTAAGTTTTAACCAGTGGATTGGTGTCAGAAGAGACCTCAACCGTACAAGGTGGGGGCATGTATGCTAGATAGATTCCAATTTAACGACATAAAGTGGCCCACCCACCCACATATGTGAATGTCATGTTTCTCTCACCTCTAAATTTTACCTAGGCATGTCTAGGTTCATGTAAACCCTGACACAGATCCAATTATATGCATCAATTCCGGGTCTTATCAGATTTGGGCCGATTTTAGTATACGTGGAAAGACCTGGCAATTGGGTTGGGTGGATATGGTTCGCTTCCGTTGCGTCATGTTACTTTCTGGTTAGAATTCAGGTTGAATCAGCAAATATTAGACCCTAATCCTAAATGTTCAGGCTAGGGTTGACTTGTGGGCCGATCCTAAAAGTAATTAAAATTAAAAAATATTAAAATAATAAAATTAAAAAAAACTTAAGTAATTCTAACTGTTCAGGCTAGGGTTGACTTATGGATTGATTCTAAAATAATTGAAATTAAAAAAAATATAAAAAATAATAAAATTAAAGAAATTAATCTTAAAATTCTAACTAGACCTAACAATCGGGTCAACAACTTAACCCATGACCCAAACCGACCCAATCCCTTCTACAGGTTGGGTCATTCTCAAATTCGGGTAACTAGATATGAGAACCTAACTCTTTTCAGTTCAAATCAGGTTAATGGGTTAGATCAACTTTTTACCAAGGACGTATAGACAGTAGACCTAGTCTGGATCCACTAACTAATGGACTGTTTGGAGTCAAGAGTGCCAACTGCCACAGTATTTGCAGTTTAGTCCGCTGTAGCCTGTATGGGCTGTAGGCCCCACGACAAGCAAACAATAAATAAATCCATTTTTTTAATGGGCCGAAGTCCATGCTACTGATCAACGGACTGAGAGTGATTAAGGAAAGGGAATCAATTGTGAGGTTATATGGTTTGAGAATGTTGGCACTAACGTAAACAAGGCAACCTTATAAGGAGTTCATAGCCCATTCATAGGTTACCAAACCACTTATTTATTTATTAAAATAAACAATGTAACTTTCAATGAGGTCCTGCTAGTTCTTTCCTTGATGGCTGATGCCTACCAATAACCATTGTTTAAGCTTTAAGCCTTTCCATCGATTTTCCCATTAAGAAGGCTTGTAGGTGACTCCCAAAATTTACCAACTACGTTATCTTTCAACTATGTATAAAATAAAATAAAATAAAATCTAAATGTCCATTTGGTTTATGATTGGAATCAAAATCAGAATCAGAATCAAAATCAGAATGGTTTATTTCCATAGTCTATTTGATTCAGATAAGAATGGAAATGTAATTGAAATCAGCAGAAATAAGATTTTATTCCCAAGGGAAGGGCAGGGAAGGGCCATTCCCTCAAATGGAGGAATGTTATTCCCACATGAATGGGAATGGAATTCCAATTCTATCCAATTAAACAGTTGGAACCGGAATAATCCATTCCGATTCTGATTCTGGACCCCTATTCCTGCAAACCAAACGGGGCCTAAGGTATTCTTGGATTATACGCAAATGCATTACATCATATAGAGCAAGTTTTCTTCTTGGTGGGTGGGTCCTACAACACAATATTCCACATGGGTGGTTGAAAAAATTGTACATCAAAACTGTTCAACGTAAAAGTGTTGGGTGAGGTTTGTGGTCAAATTGGTTCTGATATCATCTCAAGAAATAGTTTAACTTAAAAGATTAAGTTGTTAAGTGAGGTCCCAGAATAGGTTTTTTATTCTCTAACATACCTTCTTATGCCAAGGCCCATTGGGTTTGAAATGTGAACAATCACAGGCACACCCATAATATATGGTTAAATTTAATTAATTATAATAAAAGCAACGAGGATCAAACACTAGACCACTTGGTCAAACTAGCTTCAATACCATCTTAAGTAACTATTCTAACCTAAAAGTTTAAGCTGTTAGGTGAGGTCCCTAAATATGTTCTTATTCTCTAACATGTCCCCTCACGCAAAGGCCAATTGGGCACGAAATATAGATAATCACAAGTCTACTCATACCTCGTGCTGAAATTTAATTAATTATACTAATGATAGCAAGGAATGAACACTTGACAACTTAGTCAAATTAGCTTTGATACCATCTCAAAAAATTATTCAACCTAAAAACTTAAACTGTTAAATAAAATCCTAAATAGATTTTTATTCTCTAACACTACCAATCTACTATTAAAATTCTCTCTCCCTATATTGTGTGAGAGACCCTGGATGAATCACAAATCCATCAGAATTCATAAGATGACTATCAGATCCTCATGCACGCATGATTAATAATATATTCCATCTTGGATGCATTATGCATAGAACAATTTTTGTTTCTGGTCTGGAACCTACCCACACTGACCCACTCAATGAACTCATTCCTTACTAACCCTCTCTCTCTCTCATCCTCTTTCTCTCTCATATGAAGCGGTTAATATCATCCAGTTGGATAGAATTTAGGACCAGGATGCCTTCTAGATGGAACCAAAACAATGAAAACAATGGCTCTGAGTCCACGATAATTTGCAGAAGATCCATATATTAATAGCAGGTGGAGGCCAGAAGAATTAAAAGTGAGAAGGGCCCATCTGATGTATGTGTTATGCCCCTTTTAAGTGAAGCAGGTGGAACATTGTTTTAAGACCGCACGACTGTGATCGTGGTAGGTGGGCCGAATGGTCTAATATTCCAGTTGGACTTGTGAATTCAGCTGGGTCCAGTTCAGTGACATCACTTGGCCCCATAACACACCCATCGGTGAAAGCTATCTCTATTTATTATTAGAAGTTCAGATTTAGATTTAGTGGTTCAACTGCTTAGGCAGTGAATCCAGATCTACTGTCAGACAAAAAAAAATGGTTTAATGTCAGACCACAAAGTAGTAAGGACCCAGGAGTGTAATCTCAGTTTAGCTGGCCGTAACATGCATGGTCATCATCATGTAATAAAATACAAGAGACAGTGATTTGGGATTATCTTAATTAATTTTGATAATCAGGATTATTAAACTTTTTTTTCTCTTTCATGAACAGTCGTTCCTTAAAAGATATTTTGCGTTGGTGTAAATGCATGGAAATGAAAATAGGCTGACCTGAGTGCAAATTTTTATGAGAAGTAAAATGTTGCAATCATATGAAAAAGAGTGAAGGTCGAAGTTTTTTTTTTTTGGTTGGGAGTGAGGTAGAAAGCAAAATGATGTGGCTCTCAGTTATTGACATTTTTAATGAGTGCAAATTAGATAAAAGGTACAATTTTGTATCAGATAAGAGTACAAATTATAATTTCAAATAAATAGATGCAAAACTAAACCAAGTGCAAAATTTGTATCTGATTCAGTTTTTTGGCTGCAAAGTACAAATAAACAGAGCCAAAAGAGAAAACAGTATATATATATATATATAT